GTCTTAATAATGACCAAGTTGTACTTGCAAGGTGGTGAAATCAATTATAGGAATATTTTTTACACTGTTACGCTCTCGGTTACGCTTGTTGAATTTAATTTATGCTCAATGATCAAGTGCACTGTTTGCATTAGAAAAAATGATCTTTATTTAATTTTGCAAAGAATCAAAAATTCAGTAAATTTACTGCCCTTAAAATTTTTGCCTTGAGTGGTAAATACATTTATATACATGTAGCTCAAGTCTATTTCGTCACTGCTACCTACAGTTTTGTTTGTTATCCAAAATTAATGTTTATTGCCACCCAAATTGTTCCATATATGCATGTATACATATACTACAGTACTGTATGTAGAGTAAGAATCAGACAAGCAATTTAACCATGCAAAAAACTGCATCAAAGATTATGAATGTTTTATGAACATGAATTGCTATTAAATTTGAAGAGTTTGTTGAAATTAAATTTTATCATTATTCTAGCAATTAGATCTAATTAATCATATTCACATATAGATGTAAGCCATATTTATGTATATATTGTATTACTTTAGACTTGCTTCATGCTACTAATGGAACAATCATCCTTTCTCGTAATAACACATCATCAGCCTCTTATTACTATGGAACTGTTAGAGTCTATGATAATGGATGGGGCAATATATGTGATGACTACTATTTTGATTCAGCTGAAGCTAATGTCATTTGTCATCAGTTGGGATACACTGGAGCTTCAAGCTACTCTAGAGCTGGACTAACTAAGTACATTGAAATAGTTGGTGTCATACTTAAATTGTTCTTTTTACTGTAGTTATGGCACAGACTATCTTCGAATGAAATGGGATGATGTCAACTGTGGCAACAGTGACTATCTTTCCATCTTTCAGTGTTCTCATTCTACTATCATAAACAGTGGTTGTGTCAATAGTAACAGTTACGATGCAACTGTATATTGCTGTAAGATATTTAGTTGTTTTCTACATTGTGTTTTACTGTGCAAACTTATAGATACCACTAGGATTTGGGATAGTAATCCATTCTCTGGTATGATACGTCTTCAAGATGGAGATTATTCTAATGAAGGACGTGTTGAGGTTTATTGTAATGGACAGTGGGGGACAATATGCAGTGATGGGGTTGATAGCTATGATGCAACTACACTTTGCAAGCAACTTGGTTTTAAGAACTATTCAATTTTTTCTGCACTGTAAGCAATTTATTTTTGATTAATAGGTAGTTGTTTATGTCACTTTTATAGACCTAGTAACTCTAGTCAGCCTATATGGAGTGACAGTATGTACAGTACATCATATGATTTGTGCTATGGGTCAAGCAATAGCTGTCCAATGAATTCAGTCACTAACTGCTCTCATCTTAATGATTTGTTTTTGAAATGCAGTATGTTGTGTAATTTTACTGTTATTTTTTGTGCATTTATGCTTCGTTATCTACTCTTGATGAATTATTTTTGTGTATTGTTATGATGTCTTTTGCAGGTGACACTTCTTCATTTTCTGTTGTGACCAACACAAAAACATCATGCTCACAAGTATTAGGTTAGTCTATTAGATTCATGTAATATGATATTGGCACTTGTTATTATTTTTACCAATATAACTGTTGATATTATATTCAGTAAAGCCACTATTATTTATAAGTACTATTTTTGCATTCTTGCAAGCGGCTTTAAAATTTAAAAAATACTATGTACTCACAATTATTGATAATCTAGATTTATTAATAGTTATAAATTGAGAAATGAGTAAAATTGTAAATAATATTACACGCTATATTAATACCATTAGCAAACCACAAATATACATGTATGTCTGCTTTACAATACATGGCTTTAAGGTAATAGCAGTCCACCAGTACTAGAGCCTGCTATGGTTGCTCCATAGCTAATGTTCTATTACTAGACCTATATATAGTTTGTTAGACTACTTTGTCTCCCTTTTGTAAGAGCTATGAGAACACTAACTGCTTTAATGAATAAGTGTCCCTCATTTATGCTTACTAATTATGAGA